ATAAGCACCCGTCAGCCATTTCTTCACCATCCAAGTGAAGTGGATCTTGGGAAGCTATTGATACCCTCTTTCAAGTTGGAAACTCTTCCTCGTTGCTTTTTTTTTTTTTTTAAGTGCAAACAGAGCAATAGATAAAAAGTAATAAATATAGTTTAAGATTTGGGGCTGCTAGGAGTTTTACACTCATGGACACAATGTTCTCATCAAACATTTTATTTTATTTTATTTTATTTTATTTTGCATTTTCTAGTGCTGGTGGTGGGGTGCTGAGCCTAGGGTGGTTAGAGAACATGCATGCCCAAGGTCACATAGCTAGTACTTGAGAGAGCACCACGCTTTCAACCCCCCTCTACTTACTTAATGACTACATAGACTCTGGATAAGGCTGCAGACCATAACTAAGCTTCATTTCCAAGTAAATAAGGAAAAGGGAATTGAGGGGAAGGAGAATTAATGAAACAGTAGTTGCAAATCACCGAGCCCAGTGCCTGGCACATGGCAAATTCTCAGTAAATGTGAGCAAGTATTGTTGGCCCAGTGTCAACTCTTTGAGAACTTTCTTTTGGGGAGAATATTAATGATCCAATATTTCTTCCTTGTGAGATGGGAAGTTATTGACTTACCGCTGCTGGGCTTGGCATGTTGAGCCCTGTTTCTGTTTATTAATGTGTTGAGGTTACTTGTGGTGAGGGAGGGTCCCTGCTGCATGGTGGCGGTAATTATCAGTGTTGCTGTGCGGCCGCAGGAACCAGTTGCTAGCAAATGCTGGTTTCTTCTTTTCTCTTTCTCTCTCTCTCTTTTTTTTTTTAAATCCCATTACATAATTTAACAATCATTTTATTCCGTAGTGAGATGAAAAGAATTTAGCAGCCTTCAGCTGGAGCTGAATAGAGAAGCAAATTATAGAAATCACTGACATTAGTGCCTGTCTAGAGCAGGATTGTTTCCTACTGAATATTTGAAAGTATTTTGTCCAATCTAATTTTAAAAGACTGGAGCCACTGGGCTTCCACTGCTTTCCTTGGGAACTATAATTACGTGGCCTAATAGAGCTCAGTGGTGGGACATATTCTCCAGCTGATAGAGGAGAAATGGAGGCATTCCTAGGAGGTCTGGTCACTGTGTTCTTCAAAATGGGATATAGAAGGGGCACAAGCATATTTTGCTCACTTGAGAAAATATTTTCTTTCCACCCAAGGATGTTCCTTTGGTCTGCCCGGCTGCCATTGAACCATGGTTTGCTACATAATGGGATTTTCTTTAACTCTGTGTTATAGAGAATCCCCCAAATACACAATAGTAAAGAGAACATTATAATGGACACCCATGTGCCCCACACTAGCCCCAGCAACCATTCATCATTGACCAATCCTGCCCCAAACACATGCTCACCCACTTCTTCCCTTCTACTCATCCTCTCACTTTTTCTAAATTCTGATAAAATATATAACATAACATTTAGCATATTAACCATTTAAAAATATGTCATTCAGTGGCATTAGGTACATAGTATTGTGCTACTGTTACCACTATCTAGTTACAGAATTTTTCATCACCCCAAAAGGAAACTCTGCACCCATTCAGCACCATTCCTCCCTCCCCCGAGTGCTTGGCAGCCACCCGTCTGCTTTATATTTCATAAAAATGGATTTATACAATACATAGCCTTTTTGGTCCTTCTTTCAGTGAGTATAATGTTTTCAAGATTCAACCAAGTTGTGTCAGGCGTCAGTACGTCATTCTTTTCCATAGCAGAATAATAGTCTGTTATATGGCTACACCACATTCTGTTTATTCATCTGATAGTGGACATTTTGGTTACTTCCACCTTTTGTCTATTGTGAATAGTGGTGCTTTGAACATTTGGATGCAAGTTTTTGTTTGAATACTTGTTTTCAATTCTTTTGAGTATATGCCTACAAGTGGAATTGTTAGGTCATAATGCAATTCTATGTCAACTTGTTGTGGAACCATCGAACTCTGTGTGACTGCAACATTTTACATTCCCCCCAGCAGTATACGAGGGTTCCAATTTCTCCACATCCTTGCCAACATTTGTTATTTTCTGCCTTTTTAAAAAAAAATTATAACTGTCCTAGTGGGTATAAAGTGGTACCTTACTGTAATTTTGATTTACACTTTCCTTTTTTTAATTTAAATTCAATTAGCCAACATATGGTACATCATTAGTTTCAGATGTAGTGTTCAATAATTTATCAGTTGCCTATAACACCCAGTGCTCATCACATCACGTGCCCTCCTTAATACCCATCACCTGGTTACCCCATTGATTTGTACATTTCCTAATGACTATTGATGTTAGGCATCAGTCCATGTGATTGTTGGTTATTTGTGTATCTTCTTTGGAGAAATGTCTATTCAAGTCTTTTGCCCATTTTTAAATTATGTTATTTATATGTTTGTTGTTGATCTCTAGGTGTCCTTTATATATTCTGGATACTAGACTCTTATTGGATATATGATTTACAAATACTTTTCCCATTCAGTTGGTTTTCTTTTCACTCTCCCAGTTGTATCCTTTGAGGCACAGAGGTTTTTAATTTTAATGTAACCCACCTTATCTGTTTTTTCTTTTGTTGCCTGTGCTTTAATTGTCATAGCTAAGCAACCATTGCCAAGTCTAAGGTCATGGAGATTTCCCCCTATGTTCTCTCCTCAGAGTTTTATAGTTTTAGCTCTTATATTTAGGTCTCTGATCCATTTTGAGATAATTTTTTGTATGGTGTGAGGTCAGGGTTCAACATTATTCTTTTACATGTGGATATCCAGTTGTCCCGGCATCATTTATAGAAAAGACCATCATATCATTTTATTCATAGTCATTCAGCATGTTTCACTAAGAGATAAGAATTTTTTTACATAACTACAGTACCATTATCACACTTTTAAAAACCCTCATATTTCCTTAGTATCATCAAATATCTAGTCTGTATTCAAAGCTTTAATTGCCTCAAAAATTTTAAGAGCTTTGGGGAAAAAACTCATATCCAGATAAGTTGCATCCCTTGCAAATTGTTGGTATATCTTTTTAATGTTTTTAAGTCTATAGATATCCCCCCCATCTCCTTTTTTCCTTCTTGCAATTTATTTGTTGAAGCAAGTGGGTCATTTGCCCTGTGGAGTTTCCTGTTCTAGGTTTTCTCGATGTATCCCCATTAGTTAACGTGTTCCTCAGTCCTCTGAATTTTCTGTAATCTGGTAGTTGGAACTAGACGCTTGATCAGAGTCTAGGGTTCTTTTGTTTTGTTTTTTGTTGTTTGTTTGTTTTTAGCAAGGCTACTTCTTAGGTGATGTTCTTATTCTAATTGAGAGGCAAATACTGTCTGGTCACTTCTTATGTTTTTTATGTTAGCAGCCATTGATAATCAGTGCTTAAATTCATTAGTTTGTCAGGGACTATGAAATAGTGATATTTTAATTCTATTATGTCCTCTTCATTTATTACATGGAATGACTGCATTTTATAAAGAGAAGATCTGCCCCTTTTAATTACTTAACTATCCAGTGCTAAAACTTGTCTAAGAATGTAGTGTAAATTCTTGATTCTTTCCCTCTATTTACCAGTCTCAAAGTAAGCCAATGCCTGTTATATTCTTTTTGAGGGCTGTTTGTTAATGCATTTAGGTAAGTTTAATGTGTTTCAAGCCATCGCAGTTCTTATTCTTATTGATGCTCAAATCATCCCATCTTTGGCCAGTGAGAACCTCTTCAAGTTGACTCTTGAGTTCTTTTCTAACATGACCCATATATGTTCTTTGATTGCTTCCTGACTATCACGTATGATAATTTTACAACTCTTACGCATTGCAATGGGGTCTATTGTGGCACTTCTCAAATTTCCTTACAAAACCTCCTGAGAGGTCTCTTTACTTCTACGGGTACTCTGGAGAAGATGGTAGGGTTTCCCTACCCTTTGTGCAATCGTAAGGCCAGTCAGCAAAGGCATTGGAAACTTGTTCATGAAACTCATGTCAGGAGTTTTCCTGAGTTTCTATGAGGCATACATGGTGTTGATGTTAAGAATGTTCATTTGGACAGAGTCAAAACCATCAATGTGATTTTATGATGGGTCCATTTGAGTTTTGTTTCTAGTGTCTACTCAGAGATCGATTGCTAGTTATTCTGAATTCTTTTCATATAATTACGAAAAAATGTAAGTATTTAATAATAAGATGCCATTTGTTGAAGACCTTTCTTTCTTTCTTTTTTTTTTTTTGAAGAAAAGGGAGAAAGTAAAGAAATGGATGTGTTTCCTAAACCTAGAATATGGAAGTAAAATCAGATGAATTGCTTTTCCTCTTCTAGTCTCTATTTCTCCATTAAGTAAGGGAGAAGATTATGTTCTGCCTATTTGATAAAGTTGGTGAGTGCTGTAATGAGTTTATATTTATAGAGAACTTGAAGCTTTTTGGATGAAAGGTGCTAAATTAAGGCTTATTGTTTATTGAATTTATTTGATGTGTCTAACCTCCTGGGAACATTTGCTGAAAGTTAATTAAAAACAGATAGTCCCCACTCTGACAGCTTACAGTGCCACTTACAAACCAATAGCATGAACAGTGTATACTTTATTGTCCTAGTGTCAGATTGCCTAGAAAACCATAGTTCTTTCAGACAGGGGAATGATCCACTTTTGTAGGAAAGGTAAGATCAATTGCTGGATAAAAACACAGAGATATTCTCAACTACATCTGAACCACCTAGCTGCCCTCATTTTTAAAAGTACTTAGAATATGGGGATTTCCCTCAATTTCCAATTATAACTTTCAGGTTGGAAAATTAAAAATCATCTTTCTTTTCCATCACTTTGGAAAGAAATTAAGATATGAGTTTATGTTTTCTACACTGTCTTATGATCACTTCTTCTTTACAGGAGTGGTATTCTAAAACAGCCAACTGGAATGACTTATGCTTTCTTAACCCAGCCCAGCAAACGCTGTGAAGTATAATTATAATAATGGCATGTTTGCTTCCTTTGCCAGTTGGTGATGGAGTTTTGTGGCGCTGGCTCTGTCACTGACCTGATCAAGAACACAAAAGGTAACACCTTGAAGGAGGAGTGGATCGCATACATCTGCAGGGAGATCTTACGAGTAAGTGACAACACGGAGTATCTTGGGAGGTGTTGAACTTTCCACTGACATTCACAAAAGTATTGCAGATGTTTGTAAAGCATTATTCTAACAGTGATGGTGCTAGCGGTAGTTTTGGGGTCTGCTCACATGAAGGTGAGAGCCATTCTGAACAGGCCATGGGCGCTCTCATTTGGAGGGCTAACACCGGGTGACTTCCCTTAACAAGGGATTCATTTCCCACGATATTTCCAATTAGAAATCTGATTTTAGAGCATAGAGATAAGGTCTCACTTAGGAAATGAATTTTTTAGAGGTATTTTGATTACGCATTTGAATTTTCCATTTGTGAAAGTTTATGACGAGTTTAAGGGTTGAGTGACATGTACCATTTTAGCATATAGAACCTAGTTTAACTGATTTTAAATTTTAAAAAAAATTCTTTAAGACTTTGTCAGTTAAATTGATCAGAATAGCTGGATGAGACTAAGTCTGTTTGTCCAGTTTTGCCTACTGATCTCAGTCAGGCAATCTGGACAATAGTGTCATATTTACTGAGCTCAGTTCAGGGAGAAGAAGGTAATTGGTCATATTTTAGTTCAGTCAGACTAGTTTAATTATCTCTTGCTACTGATATGGAGGCTATTGTGTGTTCACTGAGCATTCTTACTAGATGTGCGTGGCAATCTATTTATACGCTCTGCCTTCTTAACCTAAGGGAATAAGTTAAAACTATTTTCATGATGTGTCCAAGATACACTTTTGAGAGACAGATTATGTGCTGTGAATGGATGGAGGGATGGATAGATGGGTGGATTGAAAGACATTAAAAATATTCAAACCACATAAGGCAAAAAAAACAACAACAATGAACAGAAAGTGAACTTTAAAAATAACATTTATAATAGCATAAAAGTCAAATACTTAGAAATAAACTTACAGAAAGATGTGAATGACTTCAACACTGAAAACCACAAAATATTACTGAGAGAAATTAAAGAAGACCTTAATAAATGGAGGTGTATACCATTTCACAGATAAGAATACTTACTATTGTGAAGATGTGATTTCTCCCTGGTTTGATCCATGGTTTCATTGAACTCCCCATCAAAATCCCTCTAGGTATAGCTGTGGATATTGACAAGCTGAGTTTTCAAACATTATATGGAAATGCAAAGGGCCAAGAATAGCCAAGGCAATCTTGAAGAAGAAGAATAGAGCTGGAGGATCTATGCTGCCAGTTATTGAGACTTATTATAAAGCTACTAAGTAAATAAGACAGAGTGGAATTGTCACAAGATAGACAAATGGCCAGGGGAACAGAATCGAGTCCAGAAACAGACCCACTTCATCTGGACACCTGATTTATAGCAAAAGGAGCACTGCAGGGCATGGGGAAAGGGTGCTTTTATCAGTAAATAGTGCTTGGTCAATTGAAGAGTCATGGGAAAATATGAAACTTGATACCTGCTTTATACCATATCCAAAAATTAATTCCAGCTGGATAAGAGATATAAATGTAAAAGATGCAAAAAATAAAGCTCTTAAGAGCAAACATCGGATAAAACATCCATGGCTTGGGGTGGGCAAAAAGATTTCTGATACAGAACACAAGACAAAATTTGAGCAGGAAACAAGGAGGTATGGTTGCTCCTTTCCTTCACATCTGACATTTATTTTTGAGTGTTGAGGTGCTTTTGTGTAAACTTCATTTGAATTTCTGACTTAGAATTTCACTCATTTAGAGAAAGCACAAAGGGTTATTTAGGCATCCAGACGACCCAGTGGGGCCAAGAATACGTTGGGCCTCCAGGGCTGGTTCTGCAATATACCTTTCTGCTCTGCTGGGGAACCTTGGATGGGGAACCCTGGGGGTCAGCCATGGGCTCTCCAGGGTTCTGAAAGCAGCAGGATGTTTCACCCGATGACTCTCTCAGTACCTGATTAGAATGTGTGAAAACAGTGTTTTCTTCTTTTTTCCAGTACATTTCCCCAAAAGATACTGGCATTTGAGATAAGGTGACTCATGGGAAGGGACATTCAATCACAAGAAGTTTCAGAGATAACCTTCCACGCATCATACGATATCATTAACTACAATGTTTGGCTCACTTATGTGTTCTGGTACCTGCTTCCAACTGCTTTGCTAGTGAAGGAGTGTGAGGATCTTTAGTCCCTCTAAGTATTCATGGGATATTAATATGTTGTAAAAACCATACATTTTACTCTGCTTGATGTCTACCTTGAGCTGAACTGACTAGAGAGGAAAGGTAATTTTTTTAAAACCCAAACCAGTGGTTCAATTTCTCACATGGTTTGTGTTTACTGATCTTCCTGAATATACACATGGATCTTTTTTGGGCATCCAGATTCTTATGCTGAGTTTTTTCAACAAAAGAATTTGGATATTATTTTTGTTTCTTTTTGTGTCAACTTCATCTTTCCATGCCAGGGTTTTTTCATTATGGAGGAAATTAAAAGTACAGAAAATTATAAATAATAAAATGACAATACTTGAGGATACAGTACCTTAATTAGCAAGTGTTAGCATAATATAATTTGCTTCAAGACTCCAATTTGAGATTTTTTTAGGTTATACTTTGAGAAATGTATCACTACCTTAGAGCAAGTCCATAGATTTCAGAACTCACACCACAAATAAACCAGAGAGAGAAATGGAACACAGTCAGTTTTGGATGTCATCAAATAATTATTTCATACAATGAACACAAAGTCACAAATATCATAAAGCACTAAAGATGATAGTTACGGATGCCAACAAAGGAAATAGAAACTGTTGTTTTCTTTTTTTAACGTGAGCCACGTTGGCTAAAGGCAAAGGGAAATTTCTTGTCTGGTCTGAAAAAATACTTTATTGTGCTTAACTAAAATTATATGATATAATGTAACTTCTAACTATTTTTTTTCCTTCTAAGTTTTTATTTAAATTCAAGTGAGTTAACATAGAGTGCAGTATTGGTTTCAGGAGTAGAATTTAGTGAGCAACTTTTAACTCTTGAATTCAAATATTGCTTTAAAAAAAAAGTGGAGGACTTAGTTAAATCAGGTTAGTTTTCTGTACAGAGACTATAGATATTCCTGTTACAAACTAGCAAAGGCAGGCAGTCCTCACTTTTCATAGTACTGTTAGCTAAAACTCGTGCATGCCAGATCCACATCCTTGTCCTCATGGGTCCATGCTACATGAGATCACAGCTGATAGGCAAGCAGTTCACTTAATACAGCAGCATGCATTGCAAAGACTGCTTCTGTATGTCAGTTGCCATTGATCAATTGCCTAGTTTAGAACCGCACTATACACATGTGGAAGACCTGAGTATGATAGTGAAAGTACCACAAAAAAAAAAAAAAAGTATCTCTGGGTGAGTTTGCATCTTTTTTGGATCATTGACAACCCAAATAATTTATTTGCATCTTGGCTTATGTTCCCGTTAACCCTTCTCAACTCTTTGTTACTCCAGGGGCTGAGTCATCTGCACCAGCATAAAGTGATTCATCGAGATATTAAAGGGCAGAATGTCTTGCTGACTGAGAATGCCGAAGTTAAACTAGGTAAGAACAGAATCCAGTGAGCCTAGGAATTGAAGGAATTGATAGGATTATTTCAACAGCTGGTTGGTTTTGTTGTTGTTGTTTTATTTTGTTTTTAGTGAATGTAAATTTGTCACTACGAATTTGGAGGTCATTGTACTAAAGAATGAAAAGAAAAATGTTTGTCTATTTCAAAACATTTTCTAAAAGCACCTGAGGAGTGAACTGGTATACAACATGGCAGACAGAACCATTTGCTTAATACATAGATATAATTGAGATTTTCTTAAGCAAAAACCCTTTAGATTAGAAGTGACTGACCTTGAAATGGTTTCCTATATCTCACCATTTGTTGACTTTGTTGCTGCTATAACAGAATGACCCATTTTTTACTGAAAGATATCCACAGTTAGACATATTTAGAATAATGAATCCCTGCTATGTTCCCATATGTTTTAAGTTATATTTACATCAACTTCATTATTACCTAGGGCACCTGCACAAAAGGGGTGTTCAGTATTCAATTTTGTATGCATGCTGGTTATCCTACTTCCATTTGCTGGAGTTATCAGTGAGGGAACCCTTTTCCTTGGTGCTGGGACTGTCCAGATAAGGTAGAGAATCTCCACATGCTCCACAATCTCCACCTGCTTGGTGTCTATGAGTAAGAGCACGAATCGACAGCTATCCCTAGGATATGCAATTTGTCATCTAGAAAGGAGTTATTGGCCATATGATTGTTTATTTCCAAAGAGATTGAAATACGTCCTATGTTTATATCCCAAACATTTGCTCTTGCCTTTTTGTTAAAATATATAATTTCCATTTTTTTCAGCATTTGGGGCCAAACTTTCATCTCATGAATATTCCCTTTTATTTTTTTTTTTAAGATTTTATTTATTTATTTGACAGAGAGAGAGACAGCGGGAGAGGGAACACAAGTAGGGGGAGTGGGAGAGGGAGAAGCAGGCTTCCTGTGGAACAGGGAGCCCGATGCGGGGCTCGATCCCAGGACCCTGGGATCACGACCTGAGCCGAAGGCAGATGCTTAATGACTGAGCCACCCAGGCGCCCCATGAATATTCCCTTTTAAAACAAAAGCATACATTACTTAAGGAAGGCGTGTGTGTATGTATGTGTGTGTGTATACATATGTTTGTACGGACTGCCTAGATAATCTTTCCTCAGAATAGTCACTCATCACTAATTAACAGTCACTTGTTGAGAGAATATTATGTCAGGCCCTGTACACAACACTTACATCACAGCAACTCTATGTAAATATCATCACCCTCATTTTATAAATTTGGAAACTGAAGCTTAAAGAAGTTGATCTGCTAGCCCCAGGTCACATCACTAGTAAGTGGCAGAATTGGGTTGCAAACTTATGCAGTCTGACTCCAGAAACTTGGCTCTTAACCACTTTCTTTGTATCCCCTAAGTATCATCTTTTATGGTAAACAAGCTGGCTTTTGGTTTAACACCTGTGTTTGGCCCCTACGGACCCTTGGCTTAACCAAATACAACATTTTGGACTTTCCTCATTGGTACACTTTATCCATTTATACATGCACTTTAAAAATAGACATTCAGAATAGCTAAAAGGAAGAAGCAACCCAGTTGGCCATCAACAGATGAGTGGATAAACACAACATGGCACTTACATACAATGGAATATTATTGAGCCTTAAAAAGTTAGGAAATGCTGACCCATGCTCCAACATAGATGACCCTTGAGGACATTATGCTAATTGAAATAAACCAGTCACACAAAGACAAATACTGTATGGCTCCGCTTATATGAGGTACCTGTAGTAGTCCCCATTTATAGAGACAGAAAGTAGAATGGTGCTTGTCGGGCTGGGGAGAGGGGAGAATGGGGAGTTATTGTTTAAATGAGTACCGAGTTTCAGATTGGGAAGATGAAAACGTTCTGGAGTCAGATGGTGGTGATGGTTACACAACAATGTGAATGTATTCAATGACACAGAACTGCAGACTTAAAAATGATTAAAATTATAAATTTTGTGGTATGTTTATTTTGCCACAGTAAAAAAAAAAATGCACATTCGTTTTATCACCATATAAGGATCATAGACTTTATTCATTTGTCTTCTCTTAAATAGTGGACTTTGGCGTCAGTGCCCAGCTCGATCGAACAGTGGGCAGGAGAAATACCTTCATCGGGACCCCTTACTGGATGGCACCAGAAGTCATTGCCTGTGACGAAAACCCAGACGCCACATACGATTTCAAGGTTTGACTTCTTCATTGTCTCTTCGTGTGTCTTCATTGACTCACATCTCATCCTGAGTCTTGCAGTGGGAGAATTCTCACGTGCCTTTGGGCCTATGATTTATGTAATCCAAAGGGAGAACTGAAAAGCATTATTTGTACTTAAAATGATAAGACACTCAAGTGAGAATCTTTTCCATGAATTCACCCATTTTATCTGATTGCCTCTTCGTAAAAAATGTTGAAACCGTTTTCTATATTCTCTTGAACTTACTCTTGTTTCTTATTAGAAAATAGATTTCTTATGGAAGGGTTGAATCACTATATTGTGCACCTGAGACTAATATTACACTATATGTTAACTAACTGGCATTTAAATAAAAACTTAAAAATAGACAACAAATTTCTATTTTGATTATAGTTTAGATTTTTAACTATATATGTATATATATATACATATATATGTATGTATGTACGTATATATATATATATATGT